TCCTTGGTTTTTTTTTTCTCCAAAAATGACTTGCCATACATATTGATCAATAATTACAATACATTTGTTGTAATCAACAGTTGACAATGCATATACTATATGAGGAGTGTGCTAATTTGCAATTACCACACATGTACAAGACTGACACAAAAATACAGCTTCAAAACATAGACCCCATGGTGGTGGCAAAACAATTTAGACATGTACACACAACTTTGTCATCCAAATACATTATTTGAGCATTACTCTGCTTGTATTATTCATCAGATAGAAGCCTTAGAATAATTTTTTATAGGAATTTTATTTTCACATTGCACAAGTCATTTGAATAATTTGGCATGACCAATACGACTGAAGGGAAGCTGAATTATTAAACGACAGATACCATAACCCCATCTACAAATAAAGGTTGACAGGTACATGAAAAGGTTGACAGGTACATGAAAAGGTCAACGTCAAAGCAGTGGTTGTGCTGGAATGTTATAATTGCTACGTTTACACGACAGCATTCTATCTGAGCCTAACTACTGCTCTTCCCACCAATTAACAGGAAATTATCTCCACGGTCGGGCCAAACGAGAGCCGAGATTTGCCAGAGTTCTATTCAGTTCAATCAAAGCCAAACAGAGTAGCGCCCTCAAATACCTATTATTAAAACATGGCTGAAAATGATTTTGGTGTTGTGCTTGTGTTGTTTCTTTTTCTTTGAGAGAAAATAAAATAGTCGCGAGTTTGAGAGAATGTACTGGTGTTATGGTTTAGGTATCTCGAATAAGCAGGATTCACAGCAGCTAAAATATGCTAAATTTGTTATTCCTTTTAAATTTATTGTCATGCTATTTTGCAATTGTTCAACTGTTGTGTTGTGTTTAACAGTTGTCAACCTAAACCTAGTAGGAACATATCGTTGTACCGGTGACCGCTTCTACAATTTTTATCTTCAGTGTTTTTGAAAAGATGCATCTGTTAAGTCACCAAGTTCACAAGTTTTAGTCGCATAATTTTGTACACCATTTTTCGTTGAGCTATCAATCTTTCACAGTATTTCTTTACTCTGCCAAATATATATTAGGGCCCATACTTTTTCGCCAAACGAGAAATTATAAATGATGTTGTTTCAGCGATAATTGAAATGAGAGGTTACTTGAAGATGATTTCGACTCGATACTTGGGCCCAATTGTACAGAATACAGATATCCCGGCCAGCCCAAATCATCGATCGCCATGAGTGATGGAACAGGCAATTCCACTGTATTTGATTCTATTCTCGCTATCTTAAAATGTTCAAGTGAAAGTTGAGTGTGCGTCTTTAAGTACAGTGAGTGAAAATCGCTACAATCAAAGTCACGCTTAAAAAAATCTACTGAGTTTGCACCAATGTTTAATTGTGTGAAGTTGAGAATTTGCTGAGCATTTGGTCAATAACTCTTAATGCGACTCTAGTATCAATTACACAATTACAATAATCAACCCCTGTATTAAACATCACAGAAGCTTGTGTAGTAAGGGAAGAAGAAAAAAGCAAAAAATCTCATGTTTAATACATACCAACCTGTTCACCAATAATATTACACGAATTCAGAACCTGAATAACAATGTTAAATTTACCTGCCATCTACCAAATATGATATATAATATTCATATGCCATGAGTGATATCTACACTTGAATGTGATTGGCTATCAAGGTACAAAGGTAAGTATGAAGATTAAAACTATGTGGGCGGGGAAGAAAAATTGTAGATCAAGCTGGAGTCTCGTGTGGTTGATAGCGACAACACTTGGACAAATGGTCTGGGGTACAAATTCAATAAAGTCAGTTCTATATTTAATGCATTTCTTGATTTTTACAAACATACACAATTTTCAGTTTTCACTCAAAAAAATTGGCTACTTTTGTCCCAATCTTCTGAAGGGATGTGCAGACTACAAACGGTAGAACTGAGAGAACTGGTGGTGAAAAGAACATACCCAAAGCAGCATAGATACAATAAATCATGTGCATAAACCTTTTCACAAAATTTGATGGCAATGTCGATTAATGCTCGAATGTGTTTGGTTGTCAATGAGTCATATATCATTTTTATTGACAGACGACTACAGATCATCACTAAACGGCATCTCGTACATTCATTAACGTCACAGAAACACTTATCACTAGAAGGCGCCACCTTAAGAATTACTCCATTACAACACCTCAAATATTAAACTTAACCAATTCACAACCCAATTTTTTTCCTCAAAAAATTTAAGCAAATAGTTGTAAATTTCCAATTAATTTTGAACAAAATATGATAATTAGCATCCAGATTAATCATATTGGAAATCGTATTTGTATTCGAGGGGCGGGGGGTGATTTAATATCATGTACATGAGCCAATAGTATCCATCAGCAGCAAGTTGGAGAATTTAATGGATACTATCAGTTCAGATCAATAATTTATTAGACAGCTTTTACTGAACATCAGTGAGTTTAAAGTTTTGATTAAAGATTTTAACTTTTAATCAACAAGTTTTACAAACTACTGAGCCTAGGGTGGCAACATTAACAATGGCAGTGAAAAGGTTGCAGACAGTGGATATAATTATTAAGAACATCTTGATGACATTGTATATTATCTTTTGAACGGCTTTTGCAATATATATCCATGACAGAGAAATTAAATAAAATCTGATTTAAAAAAAAAATGTTCCACTGTAGTGTAATAAAACACTGATATTTTTTGGTCAACATGGCCCCTTAGTTTTGCCTGACTCTGCTCAATACCACTTAGGCTACCTGTAAATTACAAACCAATTGTATAAGATCTTCCATTTGAGTTGTGTATTGGTTTGACGATGGGACTTGTGACACACCATTCGTACCATATATTCTTGGCCGTACAGTTACGCCAAAAGCTAACAGATACTTTTTCACCTTTATGAACATAAATTGGTTCCTGTCAAGAGATGGGAAAGCAGAATTAGAATGATCTGGCAACATCCATATTATCCGTCTAATACATTAGTGTCCAAAACACAAACCTAAACATTAAGGGGAAGGGGGTTAATTGCCATTATTCTATCTTTTAATTATCTGCATCTATTTTGTGTGATTTTAATTGCAGTTTTCCAGTTTATGTGAGAAATGTGAAAAACAGCGCTATAACATCAATCATTTATATTGTTTTGCGTCTGATTTTTATAATTTATATGATTATAGTGATTATGTGAACTCTAGAAAATACCAGGACATGTGACCTTTTGAGCACATGGATGAGGTTTAATCATATACATATATACAAGGCAGAATTTGAAAAAAAACAACAAGCTGCTCGATGACTGGTCTAACTGTCATGTGTTAGGATTGGGTAGCCAATCAGGCGCAATCTTGTATCAAAGCAGCTTTGCATTGACTCCATAGATTTGTAATCGTTTGGGGGTTCATTGACAAGAATACACAACATTTTTGGGAAAAGTAAATACATTATTGATACCATACATACCTTGATGGGGAAGAATATAGGAAACCAGCTGAACATTCCATCGGAGTGTGTTTTGGGATTTATACCTATGGAAAATAAAACATAAATGTTCAGCAACTGTTCAAAATTGTACCATTTCTACGCAATTACCGATAAAAACAATATTTTGACTTACTAAGTGTGACATCACCAAAGAGTATGGTATCAAAATACCCTGCAAATCCATGTAACACGGTATCCTCTTCAACATCAAAGCTAACACTCTTAAATCGTGAATTGTCCTTCTGTGATCGATTCGGGTGCACAAATGTAAACATGGGAATGGCTTCAGCGAAGGAGTTGACGTTGTGAAGACGAACCACGTACGGGGTTTCAAAATGTGCCTAAAAAATCAAAT